TCATCGGGGAAAGGCCTTGTTGTCGAAGCCATAGGGCTGGGCCTCCTGGGGAGGAGGCGGAGCCGTGGCCTCAGCAGGGACCCTGGACCTCCCCAGAGACGGTCCCCCTAGTCCCTCCCGTGTCCTCTGCTCTCCCCCCACCCCCCATCCTTGGCCTGCAGCCCGGGGCACAGCCCTGCCCATCTGTTCATCTCCTCTGGTCTCTGCGCCTCCCTCGCCTGCCCGCCTGCGCCCGGCTCACCAGGGCTTTGCTGGAGCAGCACCGGAACCAGGGGCCGTAGTGTTTGTGCAAGAGGATCACCAGGGCCAGGAGCGCCAGGAGCAGCAGGGAGCCCAGCACCCCGCCCAGGACCCCCATCTCCACCGCCGAGAAGCGCTGGTCCGTGTAGCCACCGTCCCCAGTGCCTCCAGCCCCAGTCGAGCCTGCAGGCCACACCACCGCCCCTCTGTCAGCTCAGCCTGGCACGTCCCTTACCAGCGTGGTCAGGCTCAGACGCCCTGGGCCAGGCCAGGCCAGCACCCCCACCCCCACCCCAGCTCTCCTGGCCCCAGAGGCTGTGTTCCCAGGGACCCCGGGGCCCAGGCTGCTGAAGGGAGGGTCCAGGTGGGAGGCGAGGACAGTGGGGTGGGCAGCCTGGGAACTGTGGCTTCTGGCCTGCCCCCACCCCACACCCCAGTTTACCTCCCCAGGGCTCCCCCCTTTGGATTTCACAGTCCACGTGCCCTGCTGGTCCAACCTGGGGCGGGGCGGGGCCGGGCAGGCCCTACAGGGATTCCCGGGATCACCCAGCCTCGTGGTCAGGGAACAAGGGTGACTCCGGGGCCTGGGGGTGCTACTGAGGGTGAGGGTTCTGCTGGGCCCTGGGCACTTCTGGGAGGTACCTGGCTTTGAGGTCTGTTGTGAGCCCCCACTAGATGAGGCTGATGAGGGGGAAGTGCTGGTTCCCACACTCGAGGGCCCCCCAGGCGTGGTGGACAAGGCAGATGGCTTCAGAGTTGTGCCTGAGGGGGGATGCGGGCCCATGCTCCCCCCAGAGCTGGTCGTGGAGGGTCCCTGAGAAGTTTTGGGGGGCCTGGGGGCTTCGGGAGTAGAGGTGCTTAAGGGGGGATGCGGGCCCATGCTCCCCCCAGAGCTGGTCGTGGAGGGTCCCTGAGAAGGCTTGGGGGACCTGGGGGGTTCCAGAGTAGAGGTGCTCGAGGGGGAGTGCAGGCCTGTGCTCCCCCCAGAGCTGGTCGTGGAAGGTCCCTGAGAAGGTCTGGGGGGTTCCGGAGTAGAGGTGCCTGAGGGGGTGTGCGGGCCTGTGCTCCCCCCAGAGCTGGTCGTGGAGGGTCCCTGAGAAGGCTCGGGGGGCCTGGGGGGTTCCGAAGTGGAGCTGCTTGAGGGCCGGGTTGTTCTTCCAGTCTCTGGGGGTGTTGGGGAACCTGGGGGGCCTGGGGGCCGGGGACACAGCTCCGCTTGCCTCTGTCCCCAGCAGGCCCCAGCAGGATCCCTCCCTGAGGTCACCAGGCGGAGACTCACCTGTGGGGGGCGGCTCCTGCTCGGAGACCTGGATCTCCACCACTGTGGTCGCTGTGCCCGCTGTGACCGTGTTCTTGGCCTGCACCTAGGGAGGGGAGGGGGCTTGTCCCTCTGAGGTCCCCCCTGGGCCCCGCCCCTCAGGTGCTGCGGCTCCTCACCTCCGCATAGAAGACGCCGGCCTGCCCCAGCCGGGCAGCCGTCAGCACCGCCTCCCCGTCCATCCGGAAGTCAGAGTTGTTGGTGATTTCGTAAGTGATGGCCGAG